TGCACAACAGAGAGACATCATTATCAGCAGAGTCCTGATCTACTCCTAGCTTTCACCAATCAGCACTGGACTGCAGGCACAGTGTACTCAGGGATGTCTCTGGACCAAGAGCATTTCCATATGGAATTGCCTCATAGACCATCACATTTTATTACTGAGCAACCTTCTGGAGCCCAAAGAAGATAATCCTATAATATATCAACTATGTATATAGCAAGAAAGAAACCATATTCCTTTTTTTTTTTTAAGAGCTATTTAATTTTAATTTTTTTTATTTTTTTGTAGCGGCTTTTGCTTTAGGGTGCATTCATTCAACAATGAGACCGAGACAATGAGAAGGAGTGAGAGATATCACACACACACACATACCCACCCAGGATATGGCTTTTCCTTCTCCATTCTCCTCCTGGAATCTTGGGCATGCACACACATGTGCCCAGTGTACATTTTAAGCCATCGGGTTTAGAACTTGATCTTGGAGTCTTAGAACTGCTTTGTTGGCCGGCTGGTGACACTTGATGGCCAAGATCTCCACCTTCATGATCTGGATAGAGTGGTGTGGATGCAGTGCTGGTTACCCATGTCTCAGTAGCACTGGGTGGTAGCACTGGGTGATAGCACCAGTTGTGGTTAGGTCTCAGTACTTGGGGTACATGTGGAGGGTGCTTCTGTGTGAGTTGTAGCACAGCTAGATGCCAAGTTCTTCACCATAAGTGAGGACTTAGTGAACACTTGCCCACAGTAGATAATGTCCCTGACAACTTCTTCATCGTCGTTAGCTGAGATACGACGTACCAGAAGCAGGACTTGGCAACCATGTGGTTAGGGGTGAAGATCTGCAGTAGAGGGGCAGTGTGCTGTATTTGGGGGTAGGCCAGCAGTACCCACCACCTTGTATCTTCAAAGTGTGTCCGAGGCCTTCATGGCATTCTCTTTCTTGCTGCCACCCACATACTTACTTTTTTTTTTTTTTTTTTCATAGAGGTTTTTTGCTATAGGGCGATTGCGCTCTCCAGACAGAGAGATAGAAAGCTAGAAATTACCCCCCAGGGGGGATGGCCATGCTGCAATCCCTTCTCCTCCATTCTCCTCTTGGGATCTTGGGCACGCATGCACACGCACCTGGCATGAGTTTAAGCCACCGAGTCTGGGACATGAACCGCCGTTGACTACGTGGGAGTACAGCAACATAGCCATTACGCTAACTGCTGGCCCCAGATTTTTCATACTTTATATACCATGGTATGGAGTATTTGCTTATGAACACTTACAAACTCTGGAGATTCTGAATGAAAAGGGAAATAAAGATAATGGAACTTTGTCATTTTGGGCATATAAAGAAAAGTTATGTGCTATAGAATTCTGTTATATCCAATGTTTTGGGGTATTTTGTTTGTTCGTTTTAGGTTTTTGCCGTAGGGGTTATGTGCTCCCTGGAGAGAGAGAAACAGAAACAGTGAGAGGGAAAGTGAGTAACCACTCCCATCCCACACTTTTGACCTCACCACAATCCATACTCCTCCCTAGGATCTTGGTCATGCACGCTCGTGGGTCTAGTGTGATTTTTAAGCCACTGGTCCAAGACTCAAACTGCAATTGGCCATGTGGGAATCAAGCAATGCAACTGCTAAAGCACCTGATGGGCCTGAAGGCTTGAAAAATGCACAAGGTGGGACAGCAGATGGCATAATGGCTACATCACTGGACTCTAATGTAGTTGACCACAGTTCAAGTCCTGGACCCAGTGGCTTAAACTCACGCCCGGCGCATGTGTGTGCGTGCCCAAGATCCCGAGAGGAGAATAGAGGAGAAGGGATTGAGGAATGGCCATCTCCCCTGGGGGGGTTGATTTCTCACTTTGGCGAGCGCATGCGCCCTATACTAAAAACATCTTGAAAAGAAAGAGAAACAAACAGGGTGTGTGTGCGTGTATGCCCCAAATTCTGGAAGGGTGAAGAAACAGAAGGTATTGCAGGGCGACCACACTCCATTGAAGTGTGCTTTCCCTCTCTATCTTTCCCTGATGAGCACATAGACTCTCTGACAATTTAAAAAAAAAAAGAAAAAGAAAAGAAAGAAAGAAAGAAAAGTTACTGACTTGCTAAATTTCAGAGGTGGCGCACAGGTGGCATGGTGGTTTAGATACTGGACTCACCCGTGGCCAACCATGATTGGAGTTCTGGACGTTGCACCTTGCTTTTGTCATTTTTCCCTCTCTCTTTCTTTCTCTGTCTCTCTGGTGAGCATGTGTATCCTATAGCAAATTTTCTAAATGGCAATATTAATAAATAAAATTAATTTTTTTTTAAATGAAACTTCAGGGGACTGGCAGGTGGCATGGTGGTTAAGGGTGCTGGACTCCCAAATGGCCAATTGCAGTTCGAGTCCCAGAACTGGCAGCTTGCTTTCTCACTTTCTCTCTCTCCCCCTCTCCCTCATAATATTAAAGTTAAGTAAAATAATTATTTTTAAAAAATAAAACATCAGAGGTTAATACTTTGTTGAGGCCAGAGGTTAATACATTGTTGAGGCCAGCAAATGGTGTGGTGGTTAAGGTACTGGATTCCTACGTGGCTGACTGTAGACCTGATGGCTTGCTTTCTCATTTTCCTTCTCTCTGTTTCACTGGTGAGTGCACATGCCCTATAGCAAATTAAAAATAATAATACAAATTTTTTAATTTACTTTTTTAAGAGAGTTTTGCTATAGGACACACGTGCTCACTAAGAGACAGAGAGCAAGCAAGAAACCAGCCCCCAGGGGAGATGGTCATGCCACACTCCTTTCTCCTCTAGGATTTTGGGCATGCATGTACACAGGATTGGTGTGTTCCAAGTTTCTGGGTCTGAGACTCAAACCACAGTTGGTTGTATGGGAGTCCAGTGCCTTGACCACTATGGCACTCACTGGCCTCAGAATAATTCTTTTTAAAAAAAAACTTTGTTAAAAAAATAAAAAAAACTTTGTTAATGAAATTCCATCTGACTTTATTTAATTTTATCTGTTTGTAGGCAGCCTGCTTCTGCAAAGTGGTATGATCGAAGGGACTATGTCTTCATTGAATTTTGTGTTGAAGACAGTAAAGATGTTAATGTAAATTTTGAAAAATCCAAACTTACATTCAGGTAAATTGTCACAACTTGAATAATTTTAGCTTGCTTGTTTTGCCTTTTTTTTTTTTTTTCACTGAAGTTATTACTAGTCTTTACCTCTTTGAAGAAGTTTATTTCTTTTTTCTCTTTTTTTAAATACAGTTGTCTTGGAGGAAGTGATAATTTTAAACATTTAAATGAAATTGATCTTTTCCACTGTATTGATCCAAATGTAAGTAGTCTTGATACTTTAATCCCAATTTAAATTATGAGGAAATTAACATACTTTTAAGTAGGTGGTGTTTTTTTTTTTTGCAGTAAGCTATAAATTTTGTTTTTGCTTTTTCACAGTTCTGAGGCTAACTAGGTATATTTGTATTTTACAATATTACCCTTTAAACTACTTTGTTTCATACTCTATGTGCTTGCTATCTCTATTTAGACCTAGGACAGTACTCTTGAAGCTTTGTATCATTTAAGAATAGAATCTTTAAACCATTCTGTGGTTGTATCGTATTTAGTTTGTTTGTTTTCTTTTTCCTGGGTTTTTTTTTTTTTTTTTTTTTATCTTTTTTTTTCTCTTTTCCCTGAGAGTTTTTTTGCTATAGGGCACATGTGCTGCCAGAGAGACAGAACAGGAGAAATCACTCCCCATGGGGTGATGACCACGCTGTACTCCCTTCTGCTCTATTTTCATCTCGGGATATTGGGCACACATGCCTGGCACCAGGTCTGGGACTCATATTGCAGTCGGCCATGTCGCAGTCCATCAATGTAACCATTACACCATCTGCTGGTCCATTCAGTTGAATGTTTGTTTGCCTTGTTGTTTTGTTGTGTTTGTTTGTTTGTTTTTTTTGTTTTTTTATAGGGCGCGTGTGCTTGCCAGAAAGACGAGAGAGACAGAAAGCGAGAAATCACCTCCCAGGGGGGATGGCCACGCCGCAACACCTTCTCTCCATTCTCCTCTCAGGATCTTGGGCACGTGCACACACACGTGCCGGGCATGAGTTTAAGCCACTGGGTCTGGGACTCGAACCATGGTCAACTGCATGGGAGTCCAGTGACATAGCCATTACGCCAACTGCTGGTCCCCCCAGTTGGGTTTTTAAACCTTCTCTTCTGTTAACCTTGAACGAGGGGGAAGAAATTGATAACCTGGTTAAAATAGAAAGTTTTCATTTTTGTTTTTCTTTCAGAGAATTTTATGTTTTCAGTTGCCAATGGCATGTTTCTTTTACATTCAGGGGGAAAATATGTAGGGAATAACAAAAGGGGCGAAAAATGACAATCTACTTTGTATTCTGTAGCAATACTGGAGAGTTATATGGTATGATGGTGCTTCTGTTTTTAGGATTCCAAGCATAAAAGAACGGATAGATCAATTTTATGTTGTTTACGGAAAGGAGAATCTGGACAGTCATGGCCAAGGTTAACAAAAGAAAGGGCGAAGGTAGGTTTCAATTTTTTGTTTTGAATGTTTAATATTTTATATTTTAAGTAATAAAATACACACTTGTATGGTATAAGGAATATGATGTGTTTATTTTGTAGCTAAGTGCAAAGCCTCCTGTTGGCTATTTTGACTTTTATTAGTTTTAACACCAAATGCTATCAGAATATCAGTCACTGGTAGGTACAGAATCTTTTGCTTTTGAGAGACTGCATAGGGACCAGCAGTTAGTGTAATGGCTGTCGCTGAACTCCCATGTAGCCAACCGTGGTTAGAGTCCCTGACCCGGTGGTTTACACTGGGTACGTATGCGTGTGTGCCCAAGATCCCAAAAGGAGAATGAATGAGAAGGGATTGTGGCATGGCCTTCCCCCCCAGGGGTTGATTTCTCACTTTCTATCTCTCTGTCTGTCTCTGTCTTTCTGGCAAGCACAGGCACCCTATAGCAATAAACTCAAAAAGAGAGAAACTGCATAAAAACCTTTATAAATTACTCAGATATCCCATGGGGACATAGTTTGTCCAGGACTCGAACCACAGTTGGCCATGTGGGAGTCCAGTGCCCTTAACCACCACCACTTGCCAGCCCGTTTTTGTGTGTGCGAGTGTTTTGTTTTGTTTTGTTTTGTTTTATAAGCAGTTTGTGTCTTAGGGTGTGTGTGCTCGATGTAGAGAGACAAGTGGGAGGGAAATTGAAAAATCACACACACACACACACACACAGAAATGGCACCACATTCCCTTCTTCTCTATTCTCGTGAGGTTTTGGGCACACGCACCCAGTTGATTTTGAAGCCAGTGGGTCTGGGACTCGAACCGCAGTCAGCCATGTGAGAGTCTAGTGATGTAACTGCTATGCCATCTGCTGGTCTCTGAAGGAAAGTGTATGAAACTATTTACCATTACTGCATTTGATTTTATAAATTTTTATATCTCAGTCTATTCTTTTGTTGTGCTAATTATGAGGTGGTTGGGAAAGTCATGACGTATTTTTCCTATGCAAAAATGCATCATGACTTTTGTGACCACCCAATTCATGCCCCACTAAGGGATTTGAATCCACAGTTCACAAAATTCGTCCTAAGGTGCATGCCAAACGCAAGTTAATCTAATCATGGGTAATGTTTGTATTGTTCTGTAGCTTAACTGGCTTAGTGTGGACTTTAATAATTGGAAAGACTGGGAAGACGATTCAGATGAAGACATGTCTAATTTTGATCGTTTCTCTGAGGTAAGTTATTTTAAATACACTCTGTCCCCCAATATATTTCTATATTAACTAGACTTTATTTCTATTGATACCTTTCTTTAAAAGTAGTTAAAAGAAGCTAAATTTCCAGCTTCATGTAGCTGTTTATTTAACATGTCTCTTGATGTGGCTTTTGACACTTGGCATCTTATATTAACAGGAAGAGAGGATTTTATTTATGCAATTCCCAACCGTGCTATTTGGTGCCACTGTGTTTACCTAAATGTTCACATCACAATTCCCTAACATTTTTTTTTTTACTGTGCTTTCTTGTTCTGTTTTACCTCCTAGATAGCTTTTGAATATGTTCAGGTTTTGCTGCTCACTCTCTGTGTTTTGTTTTGTTTTTAAGAGTTTTTTGCTATAGGGTGCATGAGCTTAGCAGAGACATGTAAAGAGAAAAAGTGAGAAATCACCACCACCACCTTGGAGGGATGGCCATGCCACAGTCCCTTTTTCTCCATTCTCCTGTTCAGATTTTGTGCACACACAGCTGGTGTGAAGTTTCAAGCCACCAGTTCCAGGACTCAAATCATGGTGGGCCATGTGGGAGTCCAGTGCCTTAATCACTATGCCACTTGCTAGCCCCATCACTATGTATGTTTTTCTTATATCCTCAGCATAGCACTGTGCTTGGCCCATTTTGAGCATTTTTTCCTCTCAAAGAAATGTAACAGAAGTATTTAATAGTGCTTTCAGAGGAAAAGAAACTACATAACTCACATTACAAAGACCAGGTTGCCTAGAATTCTCATACTGAGAGATTTTACTAGTTTTCTTTCATATATGTATGTGTGTGCTTTTATTCAGGTAAGAACACTTAACTTGGTATCTACCCTCGTTACAAAGTTTTAAGTGCGCTATATAATGTTAGCAATAGAAAAAATGCTGTATAGCAGGTCTGTGGAACTTACTCATCTTGCATAATTCAAACTATTCCTGTTGACAGTAACTCCCCATTTTCCCTTCCCTTGGCAACTAGCATTCTACCATTCTGTTTCTGTGTACTTCCTAAAGTGAGGTATCTTTAAGCAGTTTTGTCCTGTGACTGGTTTATTTTACTTAGTATAATGGCTTCTGGGTTCCCTCACATTGTAGCATAAGGCGTGGTGGCTTTCTTTCTTTTCTTTTTTTTTTTTTTTAAAGAATTAATTATTTTAGTGACCAGCAGATACGTAATGGTTACCTTGCTGGACTCCCATCTAATCGACCACAGTTCGAATTCCAGACCCGGTGGCTTAAAACTCATGCCAAGCACATGTGCATGCCCAAGATCCTGAGAGGAGAATGGAGGAGAAGGGAGTGGCCATCCCCCTACTTGGGGGTGATTTCTTACATTCTGTCTCTCTCATGACCACACACACCCTATAGCAAAAATCTCTCTCAAAAAAAAAAAAAGAAATTACTTATTTTAATTATTTATCTATTATCTTTTAATTCGCCAGAGAGAGAAGGGAAGTGAAAAAGCGAGCCACCAGGTTAAGGACTCAGACCATAGTTCGCCATATAGGAGTCCAGCACCTCAAACCTCTATGCCACCTGCTTCTCCCACAATTTCTTTTTTCTTTTTTTTTTTAATATATATTTAATTTTGTTTATTCATTCATTATTTTGACCAGAGAGAGACACAGAGAGAGTTGGAAGTGAGAAAGCAAGCGTAGGGAAACAAAAGGGGCGAAAAATGACAATCTACTTTGTATTCTGTAGCAATACTGGAGAGTTATATGGTATGATGGTGCTTCTGTTTTTAGGATTCCAAGCATAAAAGAACGGATAGATCAATTTTATGTTGTTTACGGAAAGGAGAATCTGGACAGTCATGGCCAAGGTTAACAAAAGAAAGGGCGAAGGTAGGTTTCAATTTTTTGTTTTGAATGTTTAATATTTTATATTTTAAGTAATAAAATACACACTTGTATGGTATAAGGAATATGATGTGTTTATTTTGTAGCTAAGTGCAAAGCCTCCTGTTGGCTATTTTGACTTTTATTAGTTTTAACACCAAATGCTATCAGAATATCAGTCACTGGTAGGTACAGAATCTTTTGCTTTTGAGAGACTGCATAGGGACCAGCAGTTAGTGTAATGGCTGTCGCTGAACTCCCATGTAGCCAACCGTGGTTAGAGTCCCTGACCCGGTGGTTTACACTGGGTACGTATGCGTGTGTGCCCAAGATCCCAAAAGGAGAATGAATGAGAAGGGATTGTGGCATGGCCTTCCCCCCCAGGGGGTGATTTCTCACTTTCTATCTCTCTGTCTGTCTCTGTCTTTCTGGCAAGCACAGGCACCCTATAGCAATAAACTCAAAAAGAGAGAAACTGCATAAAAACCTTTATAAATTACTCAGATATCCCATGGGGACATAGTTTGTCCAGGACTCGAACCACAGTTGGCCATGTGGGAGTCCAGTGCCCTTAACCACCACCACTTGCCAGCCCGTTTTTGTGTGTGCGAGTGTTTTGTTTTGTTTTGTTTTGTTTTATAAGCAGTTTGTGTCTTAGGGTGTGTGTGCTCGATGTAGAGAGACAAGTGGGAGGGAAATTGAAAAATCACACACACACACACACACACAGAAATGGCACCACATTCCCTTCTTCTCTATTCTCGTGAGGTTTTGGGCACACGCACCCAGTTGATTTTGAAGCCAGTGGGTCTGGGACTCGAACCGCAGTCAGCCATGTGAGAGTCTAGTGATGTAACTGCTATGCCATCTGCTGGTCTCTGAAGGAAAGTGTATGAAACTATTTACCATTACTGCATTTGATTTTATAAATTTTTATATCTCAGTCTATTCTTTTGTTGTGCTAATTATGAGGTGGTTGGGAAAGTCATGACGTATTTTTCCTATGCAAAAATGCATCATGACTTTTGTGACCACCCAATTCATGCCCCACTAAGGGATTTGAATCCACAGTTCACAAAATTCGTCCTAAGGTGCATGCCAAACGCAAGTTAATCTAATCATGGGTAATGTTTGTATTGTTCTGTAGCTTAACTGGCTTAGTGTGGACTTTAATAATTGGAAAGACTGGGAAGACGATTCAGATGAAGACATGTCTAATTTTGATCGTTTCTCTGAGGTAAGTTATTTTAAATACACTCTGTCCCCCAATATATTTCTATATTAACTAGACTTTATTTCTATTGATACCTTTCTTTAAAAGTAGTTAAAAGAAGCTAAATTTCCAGCTTCATGTAGCTGTTTATTTAACATGTCTCTTGATGTGGCTTTTGACACTTGGCATCTTATATTAACAGGAAGAGAGGATTTTATTTATGCAATTCCCAACCGTGCTATTTGGTGCCACTGTGTTTACCTAAATGTTCACATCACAATTCCCTAACATTTTTTTTTTTACTGTGCTTTCTTGTTCTGTTTTACCTCCTAGATAGCTTTTGAATATGTTCAGGTTTTGCTGCTCACTCTCTGTGTTTTGTTTTGTTTTTAAGAGTTTTTTGCTATAGGGTGCATGAGCTTAGCAGAGACATGTAAAGAGAAAAAGTGAGAAATCACCACCACCACCTTGGAGGGATGGCCATGCCACAGTCCCTTTTTCTCCATTCTCCTGTTCAGATTTTGTGCACACACAGCTGGTGTGAAGTTTCAAGCCACCAGTTCCAGGACTCAAATCATGGTGGGCCATGTGGGAGTCCAGTGCCTTAATCACTATGCCACTTGCTAGCCCCATCACTATGTATGTTTTTCTTATATCCTCAGCATAGCACTGTGCTTGGCCCATTTTGAGCATTTTTTCCTCTCAAAGAAATGTAACAGAAGTATTTAATAGTGCTTTCAGAGGAAAAGAAACTACATAACTCACATTACAAAGACCAGGTTGCCTAGAATTCTCATACTGAGAGATTTTACTAGTTTTCTTTCATATATGTATGTGTGTGCTTTTATTCAGGTAAGAACACTTAACTTGGTATCTACCCTCGTTACAAAGTTTTAAGTGCGCTATATAATGTTAGCAATAGAAAAAATGCTGTATAGCAGGTCTGTGGAACTTACTCATCTTGCATAATTCAAACTATTCCTGTTGACAGTAACTCCCCATTTTCCCTTCCCTTGGCAACTAGCATTCTACCATTCTGTTTCTGTGTACTTCCTAAAGTGAGGTATCTTTAAGCAGTTTTGTCCTGTGACTGGTTTATTTTACTTAGTATAATGGCTTCTGGGTTCCCTCACATTGTAGCATAAGGCGTGGTGGCTTTCTTTCTTTTCTTTTTTTTTTTTTTTAAAGAATTAATTATTTTAGTGACCAGCAGATACGTAATGGTTACCTTGCTGGACTCCCATCTAATCGACCACAGTTCGAATTCCAGACCCGGTGGCTTAAAACTCATGCCAAGCACATGTGCATGCCCAAGATCCTGAGAGGAGAATGGAGGAGAAGGGAGTGGCCATCCCCCTACTTGGGGGTGATTTCTTACATTCTGTCTCTCTCATGACCACACACACCCTATAGCAAAAATCTCTCTCAAAAAAAAAAAAAGAAATTACTTATTTTAATTATTTATCTATTATCTTTTAATTCGCCAGAGAGAGAAGGGAAGTGAAAAAGCGAGCCACCAGGTTAAGGACTCAGACCATAGTTCGCCATATAGGAGTCCAGCACCTCAAACCTCTATGCCACCTGCTTCTCCCACAATTTCTTTTTTCTTTTTTTTTTTAATATATATTTAATTTTGTTTATTCATTCATTATTTTGACCAGAGAGAGACACAGAGAGAGTTGGAAGTGAGAAAGCAAGCCACCAGGTCCAGGACTCAAACCATAGTCAGCCATGTGGGAGTGTCCAGCGCCTTAACCACTATGCTCCCTGCTGGTCCCCACAATTCCCTTTCTTAAGGCTGAATGATAATCTTTTATTTTTAAGGCTGAAGAAGTTTTGATGTTGGTTTATAAAAGTATGCATGTTTTGGGGCCAGCAGGTGATGTGGTGATTAAGGCACTCTAGGGTTTCATATGACTGGCTGTAATATTAATTCTAAACCTGTGGCTTGGAAATCAAATTACACTGAGTGCATGTGTATGTATGCCCAAAATCCCTAGAGGAGAATGGAGTAGAAGGGGTTGTGGTATGGCCATCTCCCTGGAGGGGTTGATCTCTTGCTTTCCCTCTGTCTCTCTTTCACTAGTGCACACGCCTTACGGCAAAATCTTTTTTTAAAAAAATGTGCGTGTTTTATAAATATGTTTAAGTTTATAAAATTTAAGTATTACAGAACATTTTAACTCGAAGATGGGGAGAAGATAAGTGTTTCCCCATCTAGCAATAGCTGTTTAGTTTTTGGTTGGTTATTTCTCTCTCCAAATATTCTACTTGTTCTGTAATTATAAACAACTAAAGATGAGATATCAGTACTTCATGTAAGTATAGTCTATTAATCCCAGTATATTTGTAAGGATACAAGACAAGGTATTTTTGACAGTGTACATACCTCTTACAAGGATTATGTTTATTTACAGTAGTTTACTTCAGAGTTAACTTGTTAATTGCCTTCACTACATAGTCAAGCCTTTTATACAAATTAATCATTCCAAAGATCTTTATCTTTTTTTTTTTTTTTTTTTTTTTTTTTTTTTTTTTTTGAGAGGTTTTTGCTATAGGGTGCATGTGCTCGCCAAACAGACAGACAGAAAGCTAGAAATCACCCCCCAGGGGGGATGGCCACGCCAGTCCATTCTCCTCTTGGGATCTTGGGCACGCACGCACACGCACCCAGCATGAGTTTTAAGCCACCGGGTCCAGGACTCGAACTGTGGTCGACTACATGGGAGTCCAGCGACATAGCCCTTACACTAACTGCTGGTCCCCCAAAGACCTTTATCTTAAATCATATATTGATTCTTTATAGTATTTAAAACCCTAAGGGTAAATATTATAGTACATATGCCAAGATACAAATAAGATAGAGAGCTTTACAACTATAAATCAGTCACATTCTTTTCCTTAGCTACCACAGTTAACCACTGTTCAGAATTTTGATGTTTAATTACTCTGTTATAACCTAGATACCGTGCTGGATGAATTTTAATAACTTCACTTTTCTTCAAGAAAAACCTGGAGTCTTAACTTCCCTATGAGTTTTTAGGATTTTGTGTTATTATCTTCACTAAAACTTCTCCAGAAAGGAAGATGCTTTAGTTTATTTTGTATTTTTCTATTTATGGATATTTCTGACAGACTTAAGGTATATTCTGGAGTACGCAACCTAATAATTAGGGTTTAATTTAACATCATTTGTAAAACTAATTTTTACACTTCAAATAGATGATGAACAACATGGGTGGTGATGAGGATGTAGATTTACCAGAAGTAGATGGAGCAGATGATGTAAGTCTATAAATTTTTTTTTCTGTTTATTTTAATAGTAAGAAATAATGTATTTGCAAGTTGTTTTATATGAATTCAAGATTCCGCTTTTTTTGGGCCACTTGTTGGTTTTTTTTTTGGTTTGGTTGTTTTTTTTTGTTTGTTTGTTTGTTTTTTTTTTTAGTTATAGGGAAAAGCAGTTTTTAAGTTATTCCCATTTTTGAGGAATGGGTATCTTCCACGGAACTGGTGTCCCATGGACTTATTCCTAAAAGGACGAGATATTTTTTAAAAATCATTGCATAGAGAACATTATGTATTTTATTCAACTAAGAATTCATTTAGAGGTTATTTTTAAGAAAACAAGTTAAGTAGGTTTATAGCAAAGTTGGTTGGAAGCTATAATTAAACAGATGGACATTATGAATCCGTAAGAGGAGGGGAGGATAGAGTAAAGACTACTTTTCTCAACGTTCCCCTTTCTGGTGTCCTGGCACCACAGAGTAACACTGCCATTTGGGAAATTCTTGGACTAGCTTAACAGTCAAGATTAAAGTTTATTGTCTTCTATCAGTCCATTGGTCTCTATAATGAGAATGTCAAAACAGAAGAGGACAATTTAGGGTGGAATTTAGAAGGTGGATGAATTTTCACCAGAGTCACACACCAGTTTTTACAAGAAAGTAGATCCTCAGCTATATGTCTTTTCATCTTTGATCAACCTGGATGTCTTTTCATCTTTGATCGACCTGGTCTTAAGTCCAACAGTTAAATATGTAGGCTTCACATACCTATATACTTCTACTTTAGTAAAAAATACAGTGCTTCAGCTTTTTAAGGTAAACCTTTCAGTTAGCAGTGGAATGTTTAATAAGCTTGGTAACTTTTTATTTTTCCTTCTGCAGGATTCACAAGACAGTGATGATGAAAGTAAGTGTTTTGGTAAAAATAGTACATTTACACAGTGATGTTTCACAGCAGTAACCAAACTCTCAAAAACAGATGTTAACTCTTAATAATTCCTGGAAGAAAATTATTTCTTTATAATCTCAAATGAATAACCAAAGCAGATAAATAAATGACTTGAGATAGTAAGACAACCAATTAATTCACTAGAGACTATTTCATTATATTTTTTACTGCTTTTCCTATCAGACTTTTGAAACTGATAGATTTTCCTACTTCATACTAATGTTTTTTAAATTCTTTCAGAAATGCCAGATCTGGAGTAAAGAATGTTGTCATCACCTGGATTTTGAGAAAGAAAAATAACTTCTCTGCAAGATTTCATAATTGAGAGAATTCCTGAGTTGATAGCTCTAAAGGCAGATGCTGTATTTGCCTCCTTTAACCCATTTTCAACCTGTTTGTTTTTTAAAAGGCTTCACTAAGGGTTGATAAGTAAGTACCATTGTATGGGGCAGTTTTAAGTCAGCTAAGGCAATAACCTTATGCATGAACATTTCCCAGACTTCATGAAGCTGTTGAGGTCCTAGGCAATTGATAAAGCAGTTGTGATAAATAAAACATTTCACCTAAGTCTCCGTTACTTCATAACATAGATACTGACATGATAGGATTTACTTCACATGTAAGTATGTAAGTGATCACTTGTCAGTGTTTCCAGATGTATCTTAGCTAAAACTAGCGAATGCCCTACTTAGATGGTTTTTGAAGCCTATACATTTGGTATTGTTTGGCCCTTAAGCTTTTACATCTCTTAGCATGGAGGACAAAGAAAGCTGTACATTGTTGCTTGAGAGTCTGTACATTTAGACCAGATTTGTATTTGCACTGTCAGTATGGCAAATGAGTGAAAAAAAAATGTTAATACACTATTGGATTTTTTATTTCTTTTTTTGATTCAGCTTATACTAGGGCTGAAAAACCTCAATTTATGTTCATGACAGTGGGGATTTTTTTAAATGTCTACATTCTTTCTAATAAACTGTTGGAAGACTTCTTGTCCTTTTAAGTGTCTGGTTTACTGTAATTCATGTATTTACCATTTACTGAAATGGAGTTTTTATTTGAGCAAGAATTTGGGACTAAACCTCTGAAGAAAGAGGCTTGCTGTAATGTCACAGGAAACCTTTTAAAGTGGATCTGTAATGGAAAATTGTAGATGCACTTTGCAGCAGTTGAAACAGAAAATGTTATGATTTGATTGAAATAAAACTAAATGTGTTGTCCTCCTCTTACATCTTTGAGCTTCTGCATTTTGGCAGGTTTCATTCCCTTATAGTTTGTCTATTTGGTGTAGCATAGGCTTATTCAGGACCTGTGTCACAGTCAGAGGCAAAGTGCTGGGGATGCAAAAATTTATCTTTCAGGTAATTAGTGTGCTCATGGAGCTCACAGTCTAGGCTGGGGGAGAAACATAATGGACAAAAAGCTTGATAAAAAGTACAATAATACGTGTTTGTAAGACTTAAAGATTTAGAAGGAAAAGATGAAGCCTTTCCCCCCATTAGTGTAATAGTTCTATTCAGTGACTGAAATACAACTAGAAACCTTTTAATTTTAAGGAGTGCTAGACTAACAGCATTCAGCATTTAACTGGGTGTTAAATACTTGGTTTCTAGCCCTAGTAAGAATATAATTCCATCCAAGCTCTAGATTGTAATGTAGTGTTCTTTTTCCAGAGCATGCTAAAGACATCAGCCAAACTGATAATGTAGTTCTTATTTTCAGGGGGAAAATGTTTGAAAACTATTCTCTTAAAAACTGATTATATACTTCAGTTTTGGAAGTTAAGGATTCACTAGCTTAATTAGACTATGGTATTAAAAAAGTATAGCTTGGCACAAGTTGGCAGAGTGCTACAGTGTGGTGGCCGAGGACTTGTAGGCGGCCTGGGTAGATTGATGTCTCGGCCTAAAAACAAGCAGAGTGCCTGGCTAAATGAGAGGCTGGGCAGAAGTAGCACAACTTGGTGAGACCCTGTCAAAAATATCTCTCCTTTTGGGACCAGCAGTTAGCATAATGGTTATGTCACTGGACTCCCATGTAGTTGACTGCAGTTGAAGTCCTGGACCCAGTGGCTTAAAACTCAACGCTGGGTGTATGTGCGTGCATGCCCAAGATCCCAAGAGGAGAATGGAAAAAAAGTGATTGCAGCGTGGCCATCCCCCCTGTGGGGAATGATTTCTCACTTTCTGTCTGTGTCTGTCTCTGGCAAGCACACACACACCCTATAGCAAAAACCTCTCAAAAAAAAAGATCTCCTTTCCATATTTGCTCACTCACTGTCATAAAAGAAAAATTTATCTTGGTCGGTTTCTGATTCTATCCTGTCTCCTAAGTTATTAAGTTTTGTGGGTTTTTTTATTTGTTTTTAAGTTTTTGCCATAGGGCATGTGCACACTCTGGAGTCACAGAGAGAAATCAACGTCCTGAGAAGAGGGTGGCCATGCTGCAATCCCTTCTCCATTCTGGGGTTTGGGGCATACAAACTTGCTCTGTGATTTTCAAGCTGCTGGGTCCAGGACTTGAAAACTGGTCGGCCATGTGGGAATTCAGCACCTTACTTAACCACCACTCCACCTGCTGCTTTATATATGTGTGTGTGTGTATGTATATATATATATATATATAAAGGCAGTCTTATATTTTCTCAATCCTTCTGCCTCAGCCTCCTCAAATCATTGGGATTATAGGTGTACACTGCCATCCCCAACCCCTAAAGTTTTTGCCATAGGGGTACATGCACTTGCCAGAGAGACAATGAGAGGGAAGGTGAGAAATCACCCCCACAGGGTGAACTGCCTTGCCACAATCCTTTTCTCCATTCTCCTGGGATTTGGGGTGCACACGCACACACACACACACACACACATGTGCCCAGTGAGAGTTTAAAGCCTCTCAATCCAGGACTCAAAAAACAGCCATGCGGGATTCCAGCGCCTTCACCACCACACCACTGTCTGGCCATAATTTTAGCTGCCAGAGAACATGTACACTTGCCAGAGAGATGGGGGTTGAGGCAAAAGCACTTACCAAATGTGTTGCCACAGGACATTCCCTTTTTCATCCTCAGGATTTGGAGCATCCACATAAACATGCCCAGGTGTTTTTCGAACCACCAGGGCCAGAATTCAAATGGCAAATGACCATGTGGGGTTGTGGCTCTCTTAATTAAGTTATGGGGTTGGCCTAAATTTTTTATTTCTTCCATGAGAAAGAAACAGGCAGCCCCCAACAAGGTCTTTATGCCATAATCTACCACAGGTGATGTACATGTGCTGGTGTACATACACAAGGAGACCTCAGTGCAAATCCAGAATTTTTCCATGTGGGCCTGGTTGCATTACCACAATGCCATCATCTGACCCAGATTCTCAACAGTTTTTGAAACTTAGTGTTTGAACACTTAAACAGGATTTCATCAACCTTTATTGTTCAATCAGGTATCAAGCCTTGTGCACGGTACCTGATTCCTGTGGAGCTTGTAACATTTCCTTCTGAAAGCAGAATGATCAAACTTCAAGGGAAGTATTTGTAGGTGACCTGTAATATTACCATAAGACGACTTGGTTCCTGGGAAGGGTGTCAAAGAAGCATCAACATTTTTTTTGTCCATTTTGAGTCTCAGTTGTATCTAGAGTACAGCCACTCTTCACTAACCTGTTTTAAGGACCACTCAGTCAGGCCTAGTTCTCCAGCACAGGCAATCCCTTTTCTCAGTCTTTGTGAGTCTTAGTATCTTCTTCAGTCTTTGTCTTGTTCTTGTAGTTGGTACGAAGTGTTCGCAGTTGCACAAGGCTACATGTTTCTTTCATAAATTTGTACTTTATTGTGCATTCGTAGTATTCAGAATAAACAATTATGCCAGATTTATATTGTGATGTGTCCTGTTGCTTTCTGGCACCTATCTAGTGTATGGGGTTTTTTTGTTGGTTTTTTTTTTTTGTTTAATATTTGTTAATTTGCTATAGGGTTCATGTGCTCACCAGAGAGGAAAAGTGAGAAAGAAAGCTATGCCCAGGACTCAAACCACAGTCGACCATGTTGGGAGTCCAACACCCCAGCCACCACACCATGTGTTGGTCTTAGTGTATGCTTTTTGTATGGATAGGTTGACATTTCTAGTGTAGTAGTCATCAAAAATATGTACTCTATGACACCACAACACACTGCCTTTAAGCTCCTTGTTTATCAACCTATTCACTTAACCTAGTTGTAGGAATTTAACTCAGTTAACTGAGGAGTGTCTGCATTCAGTTTCCTAAGCTTTTTAGTTTTTCTCCTATAGGATGCTCAGAGAGAGAAAGGGAAAGTAAGAAATCACCATCCAGGAGAAATAGCCACACAATCCCTTCTCCGTTCTCTCAGAATTTGGGGCATACATACACAAACACAAGGCATGTTTTTCAATCCGTAGGGTACAGGACCTGAACCACGCAGCTGGCCATGTGGGATCCAGCCACTATGCCAACGTCTGGGTCCATTTCCTAAATGTAGCTTTTTTCACGGAGGTGAAACAGTTGATCATTTATTACAGTTTTGCAGGGCCAGCATAGGGCATAGTGATTAATGTGCTGGACTCCCACGTGGCAGACCGTGGTGGTTTGTTTTTGTTTTTGTTTTTTTTTGCCATAGGGCGCGTGCGCTTGCCAGCTAGACAGGAAGCGAGAAATCGCCCCAGGGGAGATGGCCACGCCACAATCCCTTCATTCTCCTCTTGGGATCTTGGGTATGCACGCATACACGCCCGGCGCGAGTTTCAAGCCACCGGGTCCGGGACACAAACCATGGTCAACTACATGGGAGTCCAGCGACATAAGCCATTATGCTAACTGCTGGCCTCTACATGGCAGACCATGATTTAAGTCCTGGATTAGGCTTGAAAAACGCTGTAGCAGACCAGCAGATGGTATAATGGTTACTTCACTGGACTCCTATGTATTCAACCACAGTTTGAGTACTGGACCCAGTGGCTTAAAACTCAACTGGGCAATTTATTTTAACTTCATCACATAGGGACAGTGGAAGAGAAAGTGAGAAAGTAAGTTGCCAGATCCGGGACTCAAAACTACGGTCAGCCATGTGAGAGTCCACAACCCTTAACTGTCATGCCACCTGCCCACCCTCCTCCATAGCAAAAATCTCAAAAAATATAGCTGTGGGCTGGTTTTAATTACTCTTGCTTAGCCTGAGTTTTTACAACTCAAGAAATAAATGATACTGAACTCATTAAGATAACTGAAAAATCAGTACAAATCTTTTACCATGGCTTATCCAGTATTTTACAAAACATGAGTACTTGATAAAGGTTAGGAGGAAGCAAGGAGTCAGGTACATTGTGGAAAACTTGAACATCTAGTTTCTGTGGTAAAGGAAATTTGAATAGATTACTTTGGGGGTTGGGAAGTTTTAGAAATCTTTGCTGTAGGGTGCATGTGTTCACCAGAGGTGCAAAAAGCAAGAAATCACCCCTGGGGGGGTGGTCACGCCACAATCCCTTCCCCACTCTCCTCTTGGGATTTTGGACGTGCATATATGCCCAGCATGAGTTTTAAAGAGCCAGGTCCAGGACT